TGCATGCAGCCTACCCCGGTTCAAATCCATGTCACTCCTGAGTACAGAGCCAGGAATACTCGCTGAGCATCTAAGCATCACAAGGGTATGGCCCTCAAACCAGAAGCATAGCACAAGAGAGATTGTTAAGGTGCTTGCCTAGCACATCGCTTCACGTGTTCCCCCAACACTACCCTGAGCAAAGAACCAGGAACAGTCCCTGAGCACTGTTGTGTATAATCCCAAACCAAAAACAACTCCCCCACCCACATCCCAATAAAATGAGCTTTCTAGGCTCTGAGAGACAGTTCAATAGACTGAGTGTTTATACACAGCAGAGGCAGGGGTTCTATCCCTGGCACCTCATGATCCCTCGTAGTGAGCCAAGTATGATCCAAAAAAAAAAAAAAATGAAAAACAAACTAATGCATATGTGGATTTCTAAATTGCTTCTCTAGAGATAGGATTTCCTCCCTCTGAGGAGGAGCCTTCTACACTTTTATCAGATTTCCTGGAAGTTTCTTAGAAACAGAAACTGCTCTAGCAAGGAAAGGTGATGGTAAACAATGATGAGAAGGGTGAATAAATCAGAAGGGAGGGAATTGTGTATTGGGATAGTGGAAGAGATATGGAAGAGATATGTTATCAGGAGTTGTTTTTTTTTTTCTTTTAAATCCAGGGCCTCACACATGCAAAGCACATTCCCAGTCCCCCCTTTCAGATTACTTATATTTATTCAACAAATGTTATAGGACACATATTATGTTCTAGACACCAGCCTAGGACATGTACCACTGGACCAAGCTGGAGTGCAGGTTCTGCATGCAGTAGGACTGGGTTCCTTGCATGGCATTGCGTGGTTCCTCAGCACCGTAGGGAGCAGACCCTGAGCACTGCTAGGAACAGCTCAGACTATTGTCAGGTGATGTCCCCAAACAAACAGGGCCAGACAGAAAGGATATGGTTTAAGACAGTTGTCCTAAAGGTAGCCAGTCCCAGTTAGCATCCTGCACAGCCTATGATAGATTCCCCTGAGCACTCACTGCCAGCAATGACCCCTGAACATTGCTGGCAGGAGTAACTCCTGAGCACTGCTGAATATCACCCTGGTCTTAAACCACAAACAAAATAATTATTATATTGGATTTGGAGAGAGAGTACAGCAGGTTGGGCACCAAGTGCTTTATATGCAGCTGAACCAGGCTCAATCCCTGGCACCCTATATGCATAGCCCTCCAAGCCATGGCAGGAGTGATCGCTGAGCACAGAGTCATTAATAAACCTTGAGCACCCCTGTATGTGGCCTGAACTGCCCATCCCACAATGTTGCAGATATTGGAAGATGTGGTTCAGTGGTAAAATGTATGTTGCATAATATCTAGGTTTGATTTTTGGTACAAGAAGAAAGTATGAGAGGGTCACGGAGGTTTTTTCCTTTGTGTGTGTTTTAATTTTTATTTATTTATTCATTTCCTTTTTGGATCATCCCCAGCCCATGTTCAAGGATTACTCCTGGCTTTGTGCTCAGGAATTACTCTTGGCAGTGCTTGGGGGACTATGTGGGATGCCGGAATCGAACCCAGGTCATCTGCATGCAAGGCAAATGCCCTACCCGCTGTATTATCGCTCCTGCTCTTGCGTGTTTTTAAACATTTATTGTGAGAGACTAACAAGTGGTGCTTGGGGGTTCAGAAGGGCCACTCCTGATGATACTTGGCCAACCAGGTCAGTGGTTAATGTGAGAACCTGAGGATGCTGAGCTGCTTGGGCCCTTCAGTGCTGGAGACAACCAGGGTCATCCTAGTGGTGCAGGTAGCCATTAGGGCTATCCCCAACAATGTTCTGGGAATGTCAGGGATTGAATCAGGGTAAGCTGCAGCAAGGAATAGGCCTTAACTCTTAGATTGTCTTTCTGGTCCTGATTTTCATTTTGTTTTTGTTTTGGGGTCACGCTTGACTATGCTCAGGGCTTACTCCTCGCAGTGCTGAAAGGACATTTAGGGTGCCAGGCACTGAACACCATTCAGATGCATGTAAAGCAAACACCTTATCTGCTGTACTCTTTGACCCATTTTTTTTATTAAAAATTTTTTTAATTGGGGGCCACACCTGGCGATGCTTTGGAGTTACTTCAGGCTCTGCACTCAGAAATTACTTTTGGCTGTGCTCCAGGACTATATAGAATGCTGGGGATTGAACACAGATCTGTTGAGTGCAAGGCAAATGCCCTACCAGCTATACCATCACTCTGGCCTCCATCATTATTTTAATTATTTATTTGCTTTTTGGGTCACACCTGGTGATGCACAGGGATTACTCCTGACTCATGTACTCAGGAATAACTGCTGGCGGTGCTGGGGGGACCATATGGGATGCTGGGAATCGAACCCAGGTCAACTGCATGCAAGGCAAACACCCTACCTGCTTTGCTATTGCTCCAGCCCCTCCACCATTTTAAAAAATTATCTTATGGGTGGGGAGTCCTGAGGGTGCCAGGGATCAAATTCTGGTCAGCTGTGTACGAGGCAAGTTCTTTACTTGCTATACTATCTCTCTGCCCCAAATGCTATTTGTTGCTTGTTTTTGTTTGTTCATTTGTTTTTGACCACATCCAGCGGTGCTCAGGCCTTACTCCACGCTGTGCTCTCAGGGATCATAACCTGATAAGGCTTGAGGGGCCATCTGTGATGCTGGGGATCCAACCCAGGTGGTGCGCCTGCAGGGTAAGAGCCTTATCTACTGTAATATTTCTGCAACCCCCAAATGCTATTTTAAATTCTTTCTGGCCTCCACCTTCCATACATGTGAATCTAGGAGCCGGGAACTTCAAATTCAGGAGAAAATGTCCCCAAGAGGAAGAGGGTGAGTTTAAGTTTTTTGTCCATTCAGGGGATGGTCATCATGGAATCTAGCCAAGCTAGTTGTCTGGAATGAGTGGCCTCAGGGATTAGTTGTTCACCAAATTGGGGGAAGGTAGGTTTAAGAACAGTGGAGACTGAAAGGGGTCAGGATGGATCGATACATCTTCCATATCCCCAAATCCCTCAGTCAACCCAGACTCCTCCTGATACTCTTTGAGAGTTTATTTCAACAACCTTGGAAGAACTAGTCCAGAGAGACAGTACAGCAGGTAGGGTGCTTGTCTTGCACATGGCCAACCAGGGTTCCATCCCTGGCATTCCATATGGTCTCCTGAGCACAGCCAGGGGATTCCTGAGCGCAGAGCCAGGAGGAATCCCTAAAGCATGACCAAATGTGCCCCCCCCAAACAAACAAACAAACAAAATAACCTTGAGATAACCTCAAAGAAAGCAAGAAGGAGCTCATAAATATTCAGTACTGACTTCATGGTGGGCACCGGGCTAAGTAACCTACCATTTGTTTTCTGGTTTTATTCTCATCACATGCAGATACCAGATACAGATGGGTTAGGCTAAGCTTAGAGCAGGGATGTCAGTGGTCTCAATCATTCAACTTATGATAGAGCTGGAGTGCAAACCCAGGTAATCCAAAATTCCAGACTTAGTGTTCCGTGGCTTCGGGTTGCTTTTTTTCCCTTCTGGTCCTACACAACTGCCTGGAGATTTGTGAGGTGAAAGAGAACAGTAGGGGTGGGGATGTGCTGCTAAGAAAATACTGGGGAAATGTAGACAACTTTGGTCCTGGCTCCTGTCCTATGCAGCCCTCTGCCCCAGTCCTGGAGGTGGTGGGCAGCCTCTGCAATGCAGAGGCTAATGCCTGAGTGTGCTGCTGTGCTCTGGGCTCCCCTCCCCCCTCCCCCAAGCACAGGGAGGGAGTCCTCAATTCTCTGAGGGTCCCTTTGCAACTCTGACCCTTCACCCTTATGATTCTGTGCTGCTTCGGGCAGAGTTAAGGTAGAGAAAAGGGGTCCTGCAAACACTTAAGCCTTCCCCCCAGCCAGCCGAGCCAGCTGTGCTGATGCCGCCCCAGAGAGGCAAAGTTCTAAACCACCCCCCACCCGCAAATCGCAGAAAGGAGGCCCCTCAACTGGACTTCTAAAGGAGAGTGGACCGGTTGCCTTCCGGAAGGGACACCAGCCCTGACTCCCAGACGTTACTTGTGGAGCCCACCCTGAAGTTTAAGAAAGAGACGCTAGCAGCTAAGGACCCCCCAGAAGGGAGGGGGCCAACTCTTTTCCAGACAGTCCCCTCCTCTCCCTCCTCCCAGCTAATAGGTATTTCCTGTTTATGAGACAGCTAAGGCTGGGCTTTGCGGGAGGGGGTGGAGATGAAGACCCCACCTCGCCTCCGAGGCCTGGGTTGGGGAGCCCTTGAGGGAGTAGCTGAAGGTGGGGAGGTTCCTCCTTGGGGAAGGAGTAAATTGACCATCCAGCTCACACACACCCCTTCTTCTCCAACCCCCTCCCCGCCCCCGCCGACCTCCCACCCCCGGCCCAACGGGTAGGGGCACTGGAGCGGTCGGCTTCCTGTTCTCCCCAGTCTCCAAGGAAAGCAGCTTCCCGGCGGGTGGGGGGTGGCGGGGAAACTGGCTGGAGAAGGGGGGAAGGGAACTGTGTCTTGACTGATGAGTCAGAGCCCGCGAGGGGAAGGATGGCCTGCGGACCCCTCCCCAGTGCAACCTGGCGGTCCCCGTCGCCGCCCTCCTCCCCACCCGCAAATCGCAGATCCCAGCCCCTTAGGCGGGGGAGGGCGGGGACCCCACTTAATTAACCCTTTTAGCTCTAGTCCCACTGGTTTAGCAAGCACGGGGAGGAGTGGGTGATGTCGGGTGGGGGTGAGCAGCGAGGTGGCGAGCCAGACGAGGCCGGCGCGGTTTCTCCCACCCACCCAAGTCGGGATGCGGGCGCCTAACACGGGGCCTCCGGAATAAGCCTGGGGGTCTCGGCAGAGAGGGGAGGGGAGGGGGGCGGGGGGAGCCGGCCGATCCTTTCTCTCCGGGAGCGCGGCCGGGGGTGGAGAGCTACACCTCGCCGCCCGCACTGGCTCCGCCTCCCCCATCGGGGCTCCCGCTCCGGCTGCTCGCCGCTTCCCGCTCCGCGGCACCCGGAGGACGGCCACCGAGCCCTCCCCGCGCCCGCCCTCCCCGGGGTCTCGGGCTCCTTCCCCTTTTTTTGAGAGCTGCGTCACAGGCACGCCGCGCCCCGGCGGCCGCCGCACGCACGTCTCGGGCCGCGGCGCGCTCGCCCAGGTCACTTTGACACGGCTCTCCCCTCCCACTCGCCGGCAATTAGCATATTAATAAAGGCCGGCCCAGCCCGGCGGGGCCCGGCGAGCGGGGGCGCGGGCGGGGGCGCGCGGCGGCGGCGGGAGCGCACGGACACGCACACGCGCACACGCGGACACACACTCGGGGGACGCACCCCCGCGCGCGCACACGCGCAGGCCGCTCGCCTTCCTGCCCCGCTTCCTTCCTGTCTGCTCGGCGCCTGACAGGCCGCTCGCTGCAGCCGGGGGCCGTGCGCACCGGGCCGAGGCCGGGCCGGGCCGGGCCGGCGCCGAGGGCAGTGGGGGCCGCGGGCGGCGGCGGCGGCTCATGCCCGGCCTGTCCCCGCGCGGGGCGGGCACCGTGACTCGGCTGGGCCCCCGGCGGCGGGCGATGTGAAGATGTCAGTGGGCTGTGCCTGTCCTGGTGAGTGGGGCGCGCGGCCCCTCCCTGCAGATCCCGCACCCCGGGCTGGGGCGAGAACTTGCAGGGGGGCTGGGGTGGGGGCGTCTAGGACCGGGGTGGAGGTCGGGGGGGCGATCCGGGGTGTTAGAGGCCCCGGGCGTGGGGGGAGGGTTCACCCCATGGGGTAAATGCGCAACAACCCGGAGACCTGGGAGGGGTGGCGGGGAGGGGTAGTTTATGTCTGTGTACGTGGGGGGGAGTGCTGGGGGGAGGCTAATTGGATAGGGGGGGCTGAAATTCCCAGAATTCCAGGGTGTTAACCAATCAGAAGTGACTCTGGACTTTTGACCCCCCCCCTCAGGTCATCATAGAGTTGTGATTGGCTCGTTCGGTTGCCCCCCCACCCCCTCTTCTCTGCCGCGGACTCCCTCTTACCTCTCCAGTGACACCCCCCTCCAGGCAGTTCCTAGGACCGTGTTTAGGGGAGGAGGGACTGTTGGGGCCCTTCTTGCCCCCCTCCAAATTTTCCTGCCTGTTGCCAGGGAAGGTTCGCCCTCCTGAGGGACAGGAGGTACCCTTGGGGGGTGCAGATAATTGGGCCCTTGGGTCTGGCGTCTCCTCCTCCGTGGGAGGGGGAATGTGGCAGCCCCAAGCAGGCTGGGAAATGAAGTGGTTGGTGAGTCAAGCTTGACCCAAGGCGAGAACTTGGGAGAGGACTGGAGGGCTCAAATACCCACCGCCCCCAAACATAGCAGCACTGGACAGTACCGCCAGCGACACTTCTCTTCTGGCGGGGAGGGAGGCTCTGTCTAGGAGGGCATAGAGAGCAGAGCACTGGAGAAATGGCTTCTGAGGGCCTCGAACTCTCTCCCAGTGCCCAGGAACTCTCTCCCCACCAGGCTGCAGTGCAGTATCTTGGGAGTTCCTGCGCCTGTCCTGGTTTGGACTCTTTGCCCCTCCGGGCGGCCCAGTCTTTAGGAGCCCCACACTTAGCACTGGGCCTGTCCCCTCCCCCAGTCCCACCCAAAATTCCCAAGGGAGGCCTCCTTGAAAGTCATGTGACCAGGTCAAAGCTAGTAGACTGCTGGGCATACACTTCAGGTGCCTGCTAAAGCCCATATTTCAGGGACATGGGGCCCCCCGAGAAGAGTCCGCAGATCCCAAGGATCCCATAATATCTGGGTGTGGGAACCTCTGGTTGCTGTTGCAAAGGGTTGGGGTGAGGAGGAGGGGAAGAGCTTGCCAAACTGGAATACTGCCTGATCCCATCCCTCCTCCTACCAGTTCTGTGTGTGTGTGTGTGTGTGTGTGTGTGTGTGTGTGTGGTGTGTGTGGTGTGTGTGGTGTGTGTTCCCTCATGATTGCCCCATGTTGGGTATTCTGTTCCGGTTGCCCCTTGCTCTAAGCCGGCCCTACTGCCCTGGTCCTCCACCACCAAAAGCAACAGGATAACTGAGGCTCCGAACAAGCCCCAGGCCTGTGAGTTAAGATTTGGTTTTTGGTTGTTGAGGTGTCGAAGGTGAATAAGAAGGGGCGGTCAGAAGAGGAGCCTGAGTCCTGTGAGAGGAGGGAAAGCATTTCCTTCACAGTCTCTCTAGGGATAGGAAGAGGCCCCAGGCTCAGGTATGATAGGGGTGGGGTGGGGTGGATAACTTCAGAAAACCAAAGGTGTGTTCCTTTTGTGAGTCTGCTGTCTGCGTGAGGGGTGAGAAGGCAAGAGAAGGCTAAGAGTGTTTTTTTCTGAATGTCAGGAAATTGTGGCTTGATGCCACAGAGAATGGATGGAGGTTAGACTTCAAGGAGAACCACGTGGGGAGGGCTCGGAAGTGTCCTGGGTGGGGAACGGCAGGCCTCGCAGGAGGAAAGGTTTGCTGGAGGGCCTGGGAGCACAGTCGAACCCAAGGGCATCCTGGCTGCATGTCCACTCCAGGCCCAGAGACCCTGCACACACACACACACACCCCCAACCTTGAGCAGCCCTGGGGTGGGGGCCTGAGGCGCCTGGCAGGCCGCCCGCCTGCTGCCTGTCTGAGTCTCTCCTTTGTGCTCTGCTGTCTCCGGGCTCCTCCTCCTCCCCCAACCCGGCAGAGACAGCACATGCCCCACACATGTGACTGAGGGAAGCCAGAGCACACGCAGACCCACACACATGCACATGCGGAAGGAAGCCCCACAAGACACACGCAGGCACACACCCTTGGCTCCCCGCGTGCCCTTGCGGTGGGGGGTGGCTTCTGGGGCCTCGGTCAGGAGCTGAGAGAAGAGTATCTGCTAAGAGCATCACCCCGGCAGGTCGCAGAGGGGCCCAGAGCCTGTCTGGGGCAGCCTGTGGCTCAGAAGGGTTAAGGCCAGGAGGAGTAGGGGGAGGGGAGGAGGCAGAAGTGGTGGCGGCTGGGAGCCAGGAGAGGAGGATGGCAGAGCGCCAGGCCAACGGGAGGCCGGGCACAGACAAAGGAAGGGGGGCAGGCACACTGGAGGCCTGGGTCAGGGAGCCCCAGGGGCCCAGGCAGGGGGCAGTGCTGGTACCTTATCCTGTGGATGGGCGGGCGCTGGCTGCTCCCCGCTTCTAGACTGGCCCTCCTCTCCCCCATCACCTTTGTCATTCTTTAATGCTCCATGCTCACTCCTCTCCCCGCTCCCTAATTTTAGGGCCTTCTAATTCAGACCTGCTCTTTAGCAGGACCTCTTCTGCCCCTGTGCAGTGCGGGGATTAAGTGGAGGAGCGGTCTGTCTAGAGAAGGGGAACTTGGAGTCAGCCTGCGTTGAAAGATTTTTAATCTTTCAACCAGAGTTTTAATACCGCTTAGTAGTTAGGGACCCTCCCTTCCCAAATTTGAGGAGCCGAACTGGGTAAGGGGTTCTGAGCTGAGTGTAAAAGCCAGAGCGCACGCACACCAGTCCCCTCCTGAGTCTCTGTTGGCCATTGCTGGAAGGGGATAGAGACTAGACCTGGCTGGAGGGGAGTGGGAGGTGGGTCCAGGGTGATGCTTGCCCCAGTGGGATTCCAGCCTTGGGCTCTCCTGCCTCAGTGATTTAAGTTAGGATATTTGACCCTGTAAGGACTAGGGGGTCTCTTCCTCTCTTGGCTATGAATACAAAGTTTAAAGACCCAAAACAATGGGCTGGATAGAGAGAGAGAGAGAGAGAGAGAGAGAGAGAGAGAGAGAGAGAGAGAGTATGTATGGTTAGTCAGAGTTGGCTATAAATTTGGGGTTCATGTTGTTTCAAGGGCTGGTGTAGGCAGCACATTGCTGGTTGAGTGTCATCAGTGTGGATGCATTTGTGAAAGCTGGGGTGTATCATGTGACCAGACTGATGGAGAATTGGAGACTGGCATACAGGTTTCCTGGAAGGTGGTTTAGGGGGGAATGTCTGGATAATGAATGAGCAGTGTGTGTGTTTTTGTATATTTGTCACAGGCTCAAGGGACCAGGGGGTATGTTTTGTGGGGAGCATGGATGGATGGCTCAGGTCCCTGTGAGTGGAAGTGAGGGTCTAGTGCAGACCATGCCCGTGTATGTGTTCTGGGTTGGGGGGTTACCTGGGGATTGGGGTTTATACAGGTTCAAGTGTGTACAGGTGCTGATATCTGCGATGTGAGTGGAGGATGCCTCCCCCACCACCATTGGGTGTGTCTTCAGAAGCCCTCTTATGGGGTTGTGTGTGAAGATGGTTGTAGGGTAGGGCACAGGGAGCAGGGACTTAAAATGCAGCCAGGTGGGAGGTCCCAGCCCCCTCTGCCAGGCACTTTCCTCTCTGTCCAGGTAGGTTTGGGGAAATCAGACACCTTCACACTTCTCTTCCTGGGGTGTGTATCCTACAGCAGGGCCTCCTTGGGGGACCGTGGGCTGGCCTGGGGTGCCCGAAGTCCCCCCATCCACGTGCTACTCCAGCCTTGGTGGGCGAGGGGCTTTCTGCTCAGGCCTCTCTGAGTCTGGGCTGGGAATTCCGCTGGGGTGGGGAGCCGGAGCGTCCCCCTCCCATCCGTGTTTACAGGCTGAGGTCGGAGTGTGTCTGGTCATAAATAACCCCCTGCAGCCTGCCTCCAGCTGCTCGGGGATTTCCCCTGGGACTGAGCCCAGGGTGGCGGCCCAGACTGGCCCTCCACCCCAGAGGAGATGGCAGGAGAGAACGGAGGGATGGGGGGGTTGGTGGCTTTGGGAAGGGGAGTGAAGATCCTGGAAGTCTGAGGCGTGCACCCAGCTTCCATCCCTGCTCCAGCTTGGCCTCTTCAGCTCACCCGAGCACCAGCCTCGAGCACCTATGTCTGTCGAGAGCTGGGGGCGGGGGCGGCCATCCCAGGCCGGGTCCCCCCGGGCCTCGCGGGCTGCCTGCACGCCCCATCCATGCGGGTCCCCACCGCTGCATCCCCGGTCTCTGCCGGTCTCTTGTCTCTCTTTTGTTTTTCTCGCCTGCCCTCCCTGTCTGCCTGCCTCACTCACTCCCTCCCTCTCTCGCTCCCTCTTCCTCTTGCCTTGCAGGGAGGGGGCGGGGCCGGTGGGGGCAGCTCCACCCTCCGCCCGCCCTGGGGCCTCATTCTGCGTGCGGCTGGGAGAGAGCTGGGAGGAAGGGAGAGAGAAAGGCAGGGAAGGCAGGGAAGGCAGGGAGCCGGCGGGCGCTGTGCGTCTGTGTGTGTGTGAGTGTGTGTGTGCGTGTGTGAGCGTGTGTGTGCGCGTGCGTGCGCGCGGGTGCGAGTGAGTGTGAGGGCCGGGCCCTGCCGCTGCTAGTGTCTGGCACTGGGGCCCAGGGGCCTGGGGAGGGCGGGCGGGCTGCTTGGAGGCAGAGGCGGCGGCGGGGAGAGCCGGGGAGGAGGAGGAGGAGAGAGGAAAGAGCAGAGCAGCCATTGTTGAGGGAAACCTAGCAAACAAAGAAGGCTCCGGACTCCCCGCGGCCCCCCGCCCCCCAGGCCGGCCCCCCGGCCCCCGGCCCCTGGCCCAGTGGCTATTGGAACTTTCCCCCGGGGCTGTGGCCGCCTCCGGGCGGGCCCAGGCCTTGCGTGTGAGTCTTTGTGTGGCCGGCCGAGTGGAGCTCCCAGCCGGGCCTGCCTGTCCCACTCGGGACATGAGCTGCTGAAGTTGGCCTCCCCGCCACCCTTACCCTTGCCAGGGTCCCTGGGGGCTTCCAGCAGCTCCCTGCACCTCTTCTGGCCCCCTCAGTTCTCCCAGGTAAGTCTGGGCACCCTGCGATTCTGTTGGGGTTGGGAGGAAGGGTCTCAGCCTGGACCAGGCCCGATAGGCTGGACTCCCCGAGGTGTCCCCAACTCCGAGGCCAGCGTGCCCCAGCGTGTTGACCTGCGATCAGCCCCCAAAGGGAGGGGGCTTGCCCTCTGGTCAGGCTGGTCACCATGGAAAAGCAGCTTGGGGTGCCCCCCTCCACCCCAGGACATGGAGTCCATCCTGAGAAACTTTCTAGTTCTGGACCCTTCTCTCTCCCCCTTGCGAGGACTCCAGCTGGGGGGGGGGGTCCTCTGCCTGACTCCCAGGCTGGGTGACACAGCCCCGTCACCCCTCCCACCCCCACCTTGCTCTCTACCCCTGTTGCTGGGGACAGGCAGCCACAGGGACAGATGGTCGGGGTGGTGTCCCCTCCCATTCTCTTCTCACTCCTGAGCCCAGTGCCGAGCCGCGGGAGTCTCTGCTCCAGTGTTGGTGCCCAGTGACCGGAGATGCGGGAAAGACCCCAGCGCTTTGGGCTTTAGCTCCTCGGCCGTGCTCCAGAGAAATGGAAGCTCTGAAACTTTTTTTCCGAAGTGGAGGGAACTCCGAGGTCCTGCCACCCTCCTCCAGTGGGCCTGGGGGCCTCCCTGAGATGGGGAACGCGGATGCTTTGGGGGAAAGCCGGCCTTGTTGCAGAATGAGGGTCATCCGGGTCATCTGGGCTTGCTCCTCTGACCGGGCTTCTGATGGGCCGTGTGAGCTTCGGCGTCTGTGTGCCTAAGTCGGCCTGTCTGGGAAGTGGGGAGACGCAGCGGGTCGGGCGGGCTCAGCCTGGCTCAGCCTGGCAGGTGAGGCTGTGTCTCCAGGGCGGGGGGCATGCGCACACGTGGTCTGGGAGCGCTCCCGCGTGGGGAGAGGGCCTGTTGTGGGCACCCCGCTCCTGCCTGGGGCTGCTGGGTTCCGGCCCTGGCTAGGCATGTTGGGGCGAGCTGGGGGTGGAAGCCTGCTGGGCAGGATGAGGCACACGCGTGTGCGGGCACACACAGGCTCCGACTCGTGGCACCTTTAGGGACTGGGTGGTGGAGGCCCCTCTGGGACCCTCCTTTTGCCCATATTGTGAGGAGGGGGCCCTGGGGAGTGAATTAAATGACACATCTTGGCACGGGGTCTTCCTTTGTCTCTCTTCCCCCCAAGGAACAAAGTAGATCTTGTGTTTGAATTGGGGAGGGGGCCTCAGGTACAGCTAATCCAGCCACTCTTCTGAGAGGAATCCAAATGGAGGGGGGGAGGGAACCTCTGGGTAGGTAAATAGGACCGAGGTCAGTGCCATGGGAGCCATGCCTCAGTTTCCCTTCTGTTTGGAGAGGGGAAAAGTGAATTGGGAAGGTTCCTGGCTCACACCGCACTCCTCTGATATGCTGGGCTTCTTTGGGTCGGGGGTCCTGGTGCCCCGGCCCAGATGCACAGTCCTGACTAGGTACCACTTAGGCTGGGCCCCCTGGGTTCTAGGCTCTTGCACTACGCCTCCTGTTTGCCACCTGCGTGTCGCGCGGGGAGCCCTAGTGCCTCCGTCCCTTGCTGCTGGTCTCGGGAGAGTTCAGGAACCCAAAGTCCTGTTCTGAAGACAGCGAGACCCATGGCGGGGGTGGGGAGGGGGCTGGTCTGATAAGGGAATAGCCGTTGCTGGGGGAGGCCAAAGGCCCAACTGGTTATCTGGTGGGCGGCACCTACCCCCCCCTTATCTTCCTATCCCCTGCCCTCCGGAGACCCTGAGGTGGAGGAGGGGCAGGGAGTTGGCAGAGAGAGTCCCCTCTGCTCCCCCAGCCCTGGTCTCCAGAGGGCAGCTGAGGGGCAGAAATAGTACAGGAATAAGAACGAGAGGGCTGGGGCCAACTCCTGGCCCTGCTGAGGCAGGTACTGAGCCAGTGGTCTTGGCAAGGCCAGAGGGATCTTCGGAGCTGATCCTGCAACCTGCCGGGGTTGTGATGGGCGAACAAAACCATGTGGAGGGAAAGGTCGTTTGTAAAAATCAGATCCTAGTCTTTGGAGGCACACTCTCTGGTGTTGCTGTCTCATCCCAGTTCCTCTTCTGTCACGGCTCGGGCACAGCTGGAATGGGGTGGTGGGCACTAGTTAGGGCCCGCGTACTGCTAGTTTTAGGGGCGCGGCTGTGGAGCAGAGTCACTGCTTTCCCTGGGTTCCAGAGCAGTAGAGCCTGGCCGCAGTCTAGCTGGCCAGCAACAGAGTGCCCAGGAGGGCCTCCGACGACCCCTTCTTCTCCTTCCTAGGTTGTTCCTCAAAGTCATTCAAGCTGTACTCGCCGAAGGAGCCCCCGAACGGCAACGCCTTCCCCCCCTTCCATCCCGGCACCATGCTAGATCGGGATGTGGGGTGAGTCTCTGGTCATTTCGCCTCCTTTCTCTGGCTGGGATTCTGCCTGGCAAAGAGAAGGGGTGACGCCTGTGGGTGATCCCGGTCCCCCATCCCCATTCTCATAGTCTCCTCCCTTCTGCAGCCCGACTCCCATGTACCCGCCTGCATACCTGGAGCCTGGGATCGGGTGAGTGGGGCCCCCGAACAGGGGTGGGGATGGGGGCGCGGAACTGCTTTCTCCATCCAGGGAGCTGCTCCTCCTGACCCCCCTTCCTCACTCCCCTCAGGAGGCATACACCGTACGGCAACCAAACCGACTACAGAATATTCGAGCTTAACAAGCGGCTTCAGAACTGGACAGAGGTGGGCCAGGCGCCAGGGGCCGGGAGGCAGGGGGCCCTCTGGGCACCCCTGTGAGTAGCCTGCTGCACTCACAGCCCTCCCTGTGCTCTCTAGGAATGTGACAATCTCTGGTGGGATGCTTTCACAACGGAGTTCTTCGAGGATGACGCCATGTTAACCATCACTTTCTGCCTGGAGGATGGACCAAAGAGATATAGTGAGTAACTTCCGGGGTTCCTGCCATTTGTGCTGGGAGGCTGTGTCTCCTGTGACTTTTAAAGTTGGAGCCTGGGTCTTTGTCCCTGGGAATCTGTCTCGGAGGGCCTGGTATCTACCTGGCTTCTTCTGAAGGCTTTCGTTTTGGGGGGTGAGGGTGGGTATAGGGGCCCATACCCAGTGGTGCTTGGGGGACTAGATGGAATACTGGGGGTCGAACCCAAGTTGGCTGTGTGCAAGGCAAACATCCATCCTCCCTGCTGCACTATTGCTCTGGTCCCGTGAAGGCTTTCTCTCTGAAGAGTTTGTCCATCTCTGCAGCCATTGGACGGACCCTGATTCCACGCTACTTCCGAAGCATCTTTGAGGGGGGTGCTACGGAGCTGTACTACGTACTCAAGCACCCCAAGGAGGCATTCCACAGCAATTTTGTGTCCCTCGACTGTGACCAGGGCAGCATGGTGACCCAGCACGGCAAACCCATGTTCACCCAGGTCAGCAGCCCAGCCCGATGTGGGGGTGCGGGAGCCAGGCTTCACACAGCTCCCCACACGTCCCTGCCTGTTGTCCTTGGAAGCCAAATAGGAAGTGGGAGGGCCAGAAAAGGGAGGGGCACCAGGCTGCAGCAGGGTTTAGCCCTGAGCAAGTTCGTGAGCGTAGTTTCCTGGGCACCAGGGCACACCTATATATTCATAGAGCTTACAGGCATAGTTCAGAGTCCAGGGAAGAAGAGAAGGGTCTGTTGCACATGCCTGGGGGGTGCCTAGAGGAAGGGGCCTTGGAAGGACATGTCCGTATGACTTGTGTTTCCTAGGGGTGTGGCAGTGTATGAGGGGATGGTGTGTCCGTCAGGCTCCCGGATCTCTGTGGGTGGTGGGAGTTGGTGAGGGGTGGGGGTGAGCCAATAGAAGAATTGTCAGCGGCATGTTTTGGGGGATGTGGCGAGGGGAGCAGAGTCACGATGAGCTTGTCTCCAGGTGTGTGTAGAGGGCCGGTTGTACCTGGAGTTCATGTTCGACGACATGATGCGGATAAAGACGTGGCACTTCAGCATCCGGCAGCACCGAGAGCTCATCCCCCGAAGCATCCTTGCCATGCATGTGAGTGTTAGGACCAAGACACGAGGTGAAACACTTCTTCGGAGGCCGGGGGCTGGGGCCGTACCCAGCAGTGCTCAGCGACTGTCCCCGGCTCTGGGCTCAGAAGTGACTCCCTGTGAGCCCTGCCCGGAGTAAGCCCTGAACACCACTGACTGTGGCCCCATAACAAACAAAAAAGAAACAATGGCAACAACAAAAAAGCCAGAACTAATCTCTGGTGGTGCTTAGAGGACCATGTGTGATGTCAGTGATTTGAACCTGCTCAGTCATATGCCAGGCACGTGCCCTACCCTCGTACCATCTCTCTAGCCAGTAAAACTTTTTTGTTTTTCCCGTCTTTTTGGGGTCACACCCAGTGATGCTAAGGGGTTACTCCTGGCAGTACTTGGGGGACCATATGGGATGCCGGAGACTGAAACCGGGCCGGCCATGTGCAAGGCGAATGTCCTCCCCACTGCACTATTGCTCTGGCCCTAGTAAAACATTTTTTGACTGAGACCTTAGATGGGATTTGTTTCCTTTTTTTGGGGGGGGGGAGGGGAGGAGTGGTTTGTTGTTTTGTTTTTGGGCCACACTCCACGATGCTCAGGGGTAACTCTTGGTTTTGTGCTCAGGAATCACTCTTGCTGGGCTCAAGGACCCATGTGAGGTACTGGGGATCAAACCAGGGTCAACTGTGTGCAACACCCTCCCTGCTGTACCATGTTTTCTTTTTTTTTTTTTTTTTTAATTTATTTATTGAATCACTGTGGGAAAGGTTACAAAGCTTTCAGGTTTATGTCTCAGTCATGCAAATATCAAACACATTTCCCTTTACCAATACTTATTTTTTACCATGAAGAACCCCAATAAAACCCCACCCCCCACCCCTCCCCGTCCCTGTGAAGCAGATGAATTCTAGTTAACACTCTATCTGCTTTGATTAGATTCATTGTTTCAATAAAAGATTCACCACTATTATTTAGAGTTTACCCCCCCCCCCGAAAAAGCATTGTGAAGTGATTTGCTTTCTACGGCTGGGTTCAAGAATTAAATGTTGGTTTTGGATTTCTGCTCTTTTACCTATTGACCCTGGAAGTATTTCTACTGAAAGTCAGATAGTTAAGAAATTGGTTTCTGTGTTCTGGAGTCCTGGCCGTGCTGGAGAGCCGCTCGCGGGGGGCAACCGGTGGCCTCGGTAGGGCGTGAAGGGCGGACCGAAACGCCCCCCTTCCCATGAGGTTTTAGTCGCCCCCACACTCCCGGCTCATACCTGCTGTCCACAAGGCTCCCATGTGGCCGCCATCTTTCTTTCCAGAGAGGAGAGGGCGAATGGGGCAACACCCTTTCCCCTCCGGCAGACTTGATGGCCTGGATCAATGCAGAGTCTGTTCACTTTTCTGCTCCAAGCTGCTGGGTTCTGCATTAAGTCCTTGTGCTTCTGGGGCCGTGGCCGTGCTGGAGAGCCGCTCGTGGGGGGCAACTGGTGACCTCGGTAGGGCGTGAAGGACGGACCAGAACGCCCCCCTTCCCATGAGGTTTTAGTCGCCCCCACACCCCCGGCTCATACCTGCTGTCCACAAGGCTCCCATGTGGCCGCCATCTTTCTTTCCAGAGGGAGGAGGGCGGAAGGGAGCAACACCCTTTCCCCTCTGGGCAGAAATGACTGCCTGGATTAACGCATAGTCCTTTCAGTTTTCTGCTCCAAGCTGCTGGGTTCTGCATTAGGTCATTGTGCTTCTGGGGCTGTGGCCGTGCTGGAGAGCCGCTCGTGGGGGCAACTGGTGGCCTCGGTAGGGCGTGAAGGGCGGACCGAAACGCCCCCCTTCCCATGAGGTTTTAGTCGCCCCCACACTCCCGGCTCATACCTGCTGTCCACAAGGCTCCCATGTGGCCGCCATCTTTCTTTCCAGAGAGGAGAGGGCGAATGGGGCAACACCCTTTCCCCTCCGGCAGACTTGATGACCTGGATCAATGCATAGTCCGTTCACTTTTCTGCTCCAAGCTGCTGGGTTCTGCATTAAGCCCTTGTGCTTCTGGGGCCGTGGCCGTGCTGGAGAGCCGCTTGTGGGGGGCAACTGGTGACCTCGGTAGGGCGTGAAGGACGGACCGGAACGCCCCCCTTCCCATGAGGTTTTAGTCGCCTCCACACTCCCGGCTCATACCTGCTGTCCACAAGGCTCCCATGTGGCCGCCATCTTTCTTTCCAGAGAGGAGAGGGCGAATGGGGCAACGCCCTTTCCCCTCCGGCAGACTTGATGGCCTGGATCAATGCATAGTCCGTTCACTTTTCTGCTCCAAGCTGCTGGGTTCTGCATTAAGTCCTTGTGCTTCTGGGGCCGTGGCTGTGCTGGAGAGCCGCTCGTGGGGGGCAACTGGTGACCTCGGTAGGGCGTGAAGGACGGACCAGAACGCCCCCCTTCCCATGAGGTTTTAGTCGCACCCACACCCCCGGCTCATACCTGCTGTCCACAAGGCCCCCATGTGGCCGCCATCTTTCTTTCCAGAGGGAGGAGGGCGGAAGGGAGCAACACCCTTTCCCCTCTGGGCAGAAATGATTGCCTGGATTAACGCATAGTCCTTTCACTTTTCTGCTCCAAGCTGCTGGGTTCTGCATTAAGCCCTTGTGCTTCTGGGGCTGTGGCCGTGCTGGAGAGCCGTTCGTGGGGGGCAACTGGTGACCTCGGTAGGGCGTGAAGGACGGACCGGAACGCCCCCCTTCCCATGAGGTTTTAGTCGCCCCCATGTACCATGTTTTCAAGATCGGATTAGTTTCACCATCTGGAAAATGGGTCTAATAACCAAAGCTTCTCTCCTAAGGATGGTCTCAATTCTCGGATGATAGGCAATGGGAGCAGATGCACCCAGACATTGGTATTTTTATCTTTCCCCTCCTGTAGGCCCAGGACCCTCAGATGTTGGATCAACTTTCCAAAAACATTACCCGGTGTGGGCTGTCCAATTCCACTCTCAACTACCTCCGAGTGAGTCTGATACCCCAATGCTAGCCCGTTCGACTGGTGTCAGTTCCACAGCTCTCCCCTGACACGCCGCCCTGCCCTCTGGTCTACCCCCAGCTCTGTGTGATACTCGAGCCCATGCAGGAGCTCATGTCCCGCCACAAGACCTACAGCCTCAGCCCCCGTGACTGCCTCAAGACCTGCCTTTTCCAGAAGTGGCAGCGCATGGTTGCGCCCCCCGGTGAGTGCCCCACACCTGCCCTGCCCTGCCGCTGCAGAGCGGCCGTATCTCTGTTCTGGAAGCTTCCTCCTCATGCCCCGGTCTGAGGCTTAGGCTCCTTAGGAGCGAGCAAGGGGGGGCTTGGGACCCCGCCCCGCCTAAGTTTCCCTTCCTTGGCACAGCGGAGCCTGCACGCCAGCAACCCAGCAAACGGCGGAAACGGAAGATGTCAGGGGGCAGCACCATGAGCTCGGGGGGTGGCAACACCAACAACAGCAACAGTAAGAAGAAAAGCCCAGCCAGCACCTTCGCCCTCTCCAGCCAGGTACCTGTAAGCATCTCGGCTTTCTTCTCTCTTCTGGGCTGCCCCACTGCTGACCCCTGACCCTTGACCCTGTCCCAGCCTGAATGCACTAGCAGGCATAGAGCCCAAACAAAAAAAGAACGAAAGAAAGAAAGAAAAAGTTTGTCCCAGCGTCCTCTGCTAGCCTGGGCTGATGCTGGCCGCCACTGATGAGAGCCCTTGTCAGTCGCGTGCGTAGTGGTGAATGCACACACTCAGACATAGCCACGCAGGACCTGACGTGACAGCGACAGCCCTGAGAACATGAACATACAGGACACATGACAGACCTCTCAGACCGTCAGACACACTCACTGACCCTGACTTGACTGTGTGAGAGTCTAGAACGCAGATGCACGCACACACGCACACACCACCTGTCCATGCTTCTCACCTGTCCTCTCTCCTTCCATCCCGACTGCAGCTTAGGAATGTGTTGAACTGGGGGGAGATGGATGAGGCAGCTAGGGGACTCGATTGACCTCTCTTCCTGAGTCTAGTGGACATGGGTTGGCAGTTGTGACGCTGTGCAGTCCTCTAGTGGGAAGGAATCCGGGGCGTAGGGTGTCGGAGGAGTGGGGATTCTTTTTTTTTTTTCCGTTGGGGTCTAGAGGAGCGGGTGGGGGTGTTGAGCTTCCTTGGGTGGGGACTGGGGCTCTGGGGTATCTGCCGCCCTGGGCCGGGCGAGCCCCTGCCCCGATTATGTTTGGGGACCTCCGCCACTCTCAGGATGTGATGGTGGTGGGGGAGCCCACCCTGATGGGCGGGGAGTTCGGGGACGAGGACGAGAGGCTCATCACCCGGCTGGAGAACACCCAGTTTGACGCGGCCAACGGCATCGACGACGAGGACAGCTTTAACAACTCCCCCGCCCTGGGCGCCAACAGCCCCTGGAACAGCAAGCCCCCGTCCAGCCAGGAAAGCAAATCGGAGAACCCCACGTCCCAGGCCTCCCAGTGAAGGCCTCACCGCGGCCGCCCAGCGCTCTGCCTGCCTGCCCCACCCCTCGCAGCCCCGGGGAGCAGAAGACGGAATGACGAGACTGAGCGTCCGCCTGAAGTGGGCAGCCTCCACCCACCAGCTTCAGGGAGGAACTGGACTCGCTGGGGCCAGGGGGCAGCGTTTGCTCCCTCCGTGGGCCCTGGGCTGGGCCTGGCCTCTGCAGAGCCTTTTGGGGGAAGGGGGTTCTCACGTGGATGCCTCTGTGGACCCTGGGCCTCTAGAAATGTCCTCCCCCTCCCCCCCCAGGGCACTTGCCTCCATCCTCACCCCAGATCCTGGGTTCCCCTTCTCCTGACTCCACCCCTCATAAGCCCGGGGTTGTCGATACCCACAGCCCGTAGGACTGAAAGGTCTGGGGCTTGGTCGAGTGCCCCTACCCCAACCCTTCCCTAGGTGGGTGGTAGTAGAGGGGCAACGTCCTGGGTTCCTCCCATCTGTCACCTATCCCAGCCCCCCTTTTTAAAAAAAATAATATTATTAAAAATGTAAGTTTAAAAAAAAAAGTCACTCATGTACCCCCTGTCCCCCTTATTAAAAGTCCAGCTACCTCCCTACTTCTGGCAGATGGTGGGGGGCCAAGGGCCGGATGGAGCACGGGGCCAGGACAGGGTCATCCCATGTTATATGGTGTTTGAGAGCTTCGGGCCAAGGAGACGCTCGGCCATCTCTTCCTCTGGGGTGACTGGAGTTGGGGGTGACTGGCCATGGGGTGGGGACTTTGCCAGCCTGGCCTTGTGACAGCCCCCTGCTGTTGTCTCTGTCCCCCCTCCTTCCATGATTCTGGCCTGCCCTCGGCTCCTTTCCCCCCCGCGGTGTGTACCCTTCACTACAGCAGCTGTCCTGGAGGGCAGCCGCTGGGAAGGGGCTCCCAGTCCTGTTTCCTGTGTTGTCTCAGTCAGTCAGCCATGGGCAGAGGAGGAACCCGTCCTCCCTCCATGCCCGGCTCCAGTTAGTCCAGCTGCCCATCTAGGCCCTCCCTGCCCTCCCCCACCACCGAGAGGCCCACTAGGGTGTCCCAGCTCTCAGCCCACCGGGGAGCCGGAGGTCTCTGTGCCCCCCCCCAGCTGAATTAGTCTCTTCATGTCCCAATATTCCCTCCCTGCCTTTCTCCAGGAAGGGAGGGGCTATCAGGATCCCCCTTTCTCAGCTGGACTTGTGGGGGCCCAGGCCAGCCACCGCAGGATCCAAGGAGTCCTGCTCTGCAGCTTGGCTGCCTTTACTGTGGCCAGTTCAGAAGTGATCAGGCCACCTCTCTCCCCCTTTCCTCCTGGAATCTGGGGTTTCCTCCCCCTGCCCCCCACCCCTGTGCCACCACTCCAGCTGCCATGGTTGGAAGGGGGGGGTGCCAGGAGTTGAGGGGAGGGGTGGGAAGATGGATGGCCCACCCCAATTGTAATGCTTTTTTTTTTCTTTTTTCCTTTTTTCTTTTTCTTTTTTGGCGGGGGGGGGGGGTGCCATTTGAGTCATGTATGGTACCAATCAATAAAGAGACTTTTTGGTTTGAGAGTGTCCTGATTGGTCATTCGTGCCTAATAATGACTCAATAAAAAGTATCTCCCTCCTGCTTCCTGCAAAGTCCCTAAGACCTGTCGGGAGGAGTATCTGGGTTGAATTCCCCTTTTCATTTCACTTGGTCTCTCAACAGACTGGACCCTGTTTCCCTCAAAAATTGACCTGCCTAGGGGCTGGAGAGATAGCACAGCGGGTAGGGCGTTTGCCTTGCACGCGGCTGACTCAGGTTTGATTCCCAGCATCCCATATGGTCACCTGAGCAGCGCCAGGAGTAACTCCTGAGTGCAGAGCCAGGAATAACCCCTGTGCATCGCCAGGTGTGACCCAAAAAGCAAAAAAAAATTTAAATGACCTGCCCAGAGCTAGAGAGGTAGTACAAATGTTAATGCATTTGCCTGGCACGTAGCTGACCCTGGTTTGATCCCCGTGCCCTCATGCCCTCATGCCCGCGCAGTTTCCATAACAACCAGGAGTAGCGCCCTCTCCCCTCACCACAATCCTAAATAAAAACAGGGAAGTGACTTTCCCCAGCCCCTTACTGCAAACTCACAGGGTGCCAGACAGGTGACCCTCCGTGTCCTTGGGACTGAGAGTGCCAAATTGAGCTGTTAGGGCTGGTGTGGGAGGAGGCTCGCTCCAGCCTGGGGGACGCAGCCCAGCGTGGGCAGCAGCGGGCCTAGGACATAGCTTAGAAGGCTCAAGGATTTGTCTAGCCTTTGGAAGGCCCGAGTGTGATGCCCGGTGTTTCCTGGCCTCCAAAGCAGTGCTGTGAGTGGAGCCCAGTATCACAGCCCTAAACACTGCCAGGTGTGGCCCCAAACACCGAAACATTAAGTTCTTTGCCATCTGTGAGGGAGGAGGGACAGGATATAAGCACCATTTAGAAGGGGCGGCCTGAACCTGTGAACAGGGTGGGGCTGTTGGCCCTGCCATCAGCCCGACCATGCAGGGAGTAGCCCCTGACCACCCCCTCCGCCCCCAGGTGTGTGGTGCTTAGTTTCACTCCATTCCAGGCTGGGGCCTCAACCATTTTCTCACTGTCTCTGCATCTGGTCAGGCTGCCTCCCTCCCTCACCAACCCCAGCTGCAAGAAGAAAGCAGGCAAGAGGCCCCTCCCGCTCGGATTCCCACAGCTCCCTGGGCCAGAGCACGCAGATACCCATTACACGCACACACCAGCACACGCGCACATGCCCTTTGCGTGCCTGATCTGTGGCATCATATATGCAAGGCACGTACTTTGCCTCTGACCTCTAGCTCTGGCCCTACCTTTGACCTTTTTGCTTGAGCGAGCACCAGCAGGCCTGTGAGCCGCGGGGAGGACATGCCTGCCCTGCTGTGCTGGTGGGAGTGTGGATACGCCGGTGCTGGGTCCCGAAGGTCTGGGGTTCGGGGCTTGACACAGTGGGGAAGACATGATGGCTGGCTTCGTGGCTGTATGTGGCTGTGTTGTGGAGTGCATGGTTTGGCTTTGCAGTTGTGTTGGACTAGGCTGGTGCTGGAACAGTGGTTATGGAACTGCATTGGGCCTTTGCTGGCTCATATCCTGAGAAGGCTGAGTGTGTGTGTGTGTGTGTGTGTGTGTGTGTGTGTGTAGTGGAGGCTGGAGTCAGGGAAGAGGTAGATGGCCATGAAGGCTGAGTGTGTGTGTGTGTGTGTGTGTGTGTCTGTGTCTGTGTCTGTGTGTCTGTGTGTGAGGTGGAGTCTGGAGTCAGGGAAGAGGTAGATGGCCATGAAGGCTGAGTGTGTGTGTGTGTGTGTGTGTGTGTGTGTGTGTGTATGTCTGTGTGTGTCTCTGTGTGTGTGAGGTGGAAGTTGGAGTCAGGGAAGAGGTAGATGGCCAAGTCTGAGCTCCTGCTTGGAGGAAGAGAAAGGGCCAGAGAGAATGGGGAATCTACTGTCAGGAAATACAGTGGCTGGCAACTTCCGCCAGAGCCCCCTGTCTGGCTCTGCCCTATTTGTCCCAACAGCCCCTCGAGGGAATGCCTGAGTCTGGGGGATCCGCTGGGGCAAGGGAAGGGAAGGGCCTCTCAAGGCCCTCATGCTGTTTCCAGGTATGAGGACCCTACTTCAGTCTAGAGGAGCCTGTTTAGCTCATCTGTGAGCCCCAGCCAGGGGCCACTTTGAGGCCCTGGGCGCGCTCAGCCTGATCCCTGCACTTCCTCCATGCTCCCTATCTCAGCCCAGACCAGCCTCACCTCTCCCTTTCTCCCCAAAGATTGCAGCCCAGCCTAACCAGCTCAGGGTTCAGTCTGATGACCAGCCCCTTCCGTAAGATGAAGAGCCCTAAGCTGTCCTCCAGATCCTCTGTCCTATTCCCATACAATCGGGATGGGGGGAGGGGGGAAGAAGGGCAAGGCAGTGAGGGACAGGCCTGAGGTTCTGTGGCTGACACAGGTAGGTTCTGGAGCCGGCTGGAAGGAAGAGAACGTGTCAAAAGAAAATGTGCGTCAGCGACCCACTAGCTGGAGGCAGAATGTCAGGTGCTGGTTCCGCCACTGCAAGTCCAGGCTCCCCAGTACCCTGAGCAATCAGGAGGACTGTAGCCGCAGTTCCATTCTCTCAGGACTTACCTCGCAGCAATCCCCGCCCCCAACCCCCGCAGCCTGAGGTTTTTGATAAAGTGAAACAGGAAATGGGTGGGGGACTGCACCCCACCTTAGGCGTTGGAGTGGGGGAAGATGAATGGGTTTGGAGCCTCTCACTGGAACCTCATTGGGGCCATTTCCTAAAGGATTCCCGGCCCTTTTCGGCATACGAAACCTGCCTTCCTCCCTTTCCTGCCATGCCCTTCTCTTACTGCCAGCATTATATTCAGGCATTCCTTTAGGCATTACATCCACTTGGTGCTCAGGGTCTTCTCCCAGTTCTGTGCTCAGGAGTTGCTCCCCAGGGAGCTTCACAGAAGCATGCAGTGCTGGTGACAGAACTGGGGCCCCCTGTATGCAGGCTGCAGTGCTCTCTCACCAACCTTCTGTACGCCGCTTGCCGCTTTTTTGTTTGTTGGTTTGGTTTTGGTTTGCGGGCCACACTTGGCTGTGCCTAGGGCTCACTCCTGGCTCTGTGCTCAGGGACCATTCCTGCCAGCTTGGGGGACCCTACCGGGGATCGAACCTGGGTGGATGAGCGCAAGGCAAGTGCCTTCCCTGCTATCCTACTTCTCTGGCTCCAGTTGTACCCTTCTTTATTTCTGTTTTTCCACACCCAGCTGTGCTCTGGGGATCAAACCGGGAACTCCCTAGTGCAAAGCGTATGCCCCAGGCCTTTGAGTCATCTTCCTAGCCCCTTTAATGTTACCAGCTGCCTCTTTGTTTCCAGCTCACCTCTCCAGGTAGAGAACCTGGAGCAGTTGCTGGTCTCTGAGAAGGTGAGGGGATAAGACTCTTTCACCATCACCCCTCAAACAAAGCTGCCTGGGGGAGGCATGCAAATTCTCAGGAGCACAGAGCTAATCCTCACTCTGTGTCTAGACATTCAAGGCTGTTTCAGACACAGCACATATTTATTTACTTATACTTCCATAGCTGGAGTGATAGCACAGAGGTAGGGCGTTTGCCTTGCACGCAGCCAACATGGCCGACCCGAGTTCGATTCCTCCGCCCCTCTCGGAGAGCCCTGCAAGCTACCGAGAGTATCTCGCCCGCACGGCAGAGCCTGGCAAGCTCCCCGTGATGTATTCGATATGCCAAACACAGTAACAAGTGTCACAATGGAGACGTTACTGGGCCCGCTCGAGCAAATCGATGAACAATGGAGACGTTACTGGGTCCGCTCGAGCAAATCGATGAACAACGGGAGGACCGTGGACCGTGGATACTTCCATAGCACAGCGGGTAGGGCGTTTGCCTTGCAAGTGGCCAACATGGACGACCCGAGTTCGCTTCCTTCGCCCCTCTCGGAGAGCCTGGTAAGCTACTGAAAGTATCTTGCCCACACGGCAAAGCCTGGCAAGCTCCCCATGACATATTGGATATGCCAAACACAGTAACAACAAGTGTCACAACGGAGACGTTACTGGGCCTGCTCAAGCAAATCGATGAACAACGGGAGGACAGTGATAGTGACAGTGATACTTCCATATAAGAACCTGAGTTGGTTACATACAAGTGGTACTACATGAAAAGTATCATGCTAAGCGAAATGAGTCAGAAAGAGAGGGATAGACATAGAAAGATTACATTCATCTGGGGAACATAAAGTAAAATAGGAGACTAACACCCAAGAGTGGCCGAGATTAGTACCAGGAGTTTTGCTCCATGGCTTGGAGGCCAGCCACACATTCTAGGGGAAAGGGGAGCTCAGATAGAGAAGGGAGCACCAAATAAAGGGTGTTGGGAGGATCCTCCCAGGATGGGAGAAGCATGCTGAAAGTAGACTATAGATCAAACATGATTGCCATTCAGTGCCTCTTTTGCAAACCACAACACCCAAAAGGAGAGAGAGAACAGAGGGGAATGCCCTGCCACAGAGGCAGGGTGGGGTGGGGAGATGGGGTGGTGGGAGGGATACTGGGACCCGTGGTGGTGGAAAATGGGCACTGGTGGAGGGATGGGTATTTGATCATCGTATAATTGAAACCCAACCACAAAAATTTGTAAGTCTACAACTGTACCTTATGGTGTTTCACTAATAAAAATTAAGAAAAAAAAAAAGAAAGAATGCAACCAACCTGGGTTCAATTCCCAGCATCCCATATGGTCCCCTGAGCACCACCAGGAGTAATTCCAGAAAAGCAGAGCCAGGAGTAACCCCTTAGCATCACCGGGTATAATCCAAAAAGAAAAAAAAAGAAAAGAACTTGAGTCAAAGAGAAGTACAGGAGTTAAGACACTTGCCTTGCAGGCAGCCAAACCTAGTTCAATCCCTGGCACCACATAGAGTTCTCTAAGCACCACTGAGTGGAATGCCAGGAATAGCCCTTGAGCACCACTGGATGTGGACCAAAATGTACTCTGCTCACCTAAAAAAAACAACAACAAAAAACTTATGAAA